TGCTTTTCCTCCTGATTCACCAAGATTATTCGATCTTAAATCTAAATTAGTTAAGGTGGTATTTTTGCATAAAGCTTCAGCCAGTGCTTTTCCTCCTGATTTACCTATATTATTATTTTCTAGATTTAAATCAGTTAAGGTGATATTTTTGCATAAGCTTCAGCCAGTGCTTTTCCTACTGATTCACCAAGATTATTCCATCCTAAATTTAAATTCGTTAAGTTGGTATTTTTGCATAAAGCTTCAGCCAGTGCTTTTCCTCCCAATTCACCAAGATTATTCGATCTTAAATCTAAATTAGTTAAGGTGATATTTTTGCATAAAGCTTCAGCCAGTGTTTTTATGGCTTTACCGCCAAATCGATTATTATATAAATTTAAACACATAAGAGTAGTGTTTTTATACAGAGCTTTGGCTAGAGCCATTACTGCATCGTCACCAAGATAATTGTTTTCTAAATTTAAATTTGTTAGTGTGTTGTTATTGCTTAATATCTCAGCTAATCCTTGCCCCGCCCCATTACACAGTTATTTTGAGATTAAATCCAAGCATTTTAAATTAGGATTTGTACATAAAGCTTCAGATAGAGCGTTTCCCGCCTCATAACATAGCTTATCATGATTTAAATTCAAATTGCTCAGGATGGTAATTTGATAAATGGCATCATTTAATGATAATGCATATGACTGTAAATCTGTTTAATTGAATAATATGAATTCGTATATAAATTTATTATTTTAGTGAATTTAAGAGAAAATTCTGGTTAAAGTTGTTAGATAATATAATAAATATTATATAATATACCACTATCTGATAGTTTTCTTCGTTTTATTTCATCTTTTAAATATTATATTGTTAAATAAGTCCAGTAATACGTAGAGATCAATAAAATAAATACTAAATTAAAACTTACTATAATTATTTTCATCTAGTAAAAATTCGATAGAATGTTTTTTTGAAGGTGGTATGTTTATCGTTGAATTTAGACAGTTAGCGTTTTTAAAGTGTTCAGAACTGGGTATCCATTTTAATTAGAAACATTAATTTATTATTTCAAATTTCTAATTTGTAAAAAAAAACCCCTAATTACTTACATAATATTAAATGAATCGCTGCTAATGCTTTGAAAAGAATCTATGGGACGTAATATAAAAGATTTAGAACCTTGAAGTAAATCTAAAAGCATGGAGTCTATAGTAGGATTTAATAATTGACTGTGAGTTTTAGAATGAGGATGAATATATTTAGCAATGAGTTTCCCGGCATTAAGTAATTCTTGTCGTTTTTCTTCAGCTTCTGTAAAAATTTCGACAGTATTCCAATAACTAGAATATACTTCATTATATATTTCATCAATAGTTGGCCTTTTTGAGGGATTCGAATGCCAACATTTTTGCATCAAAATAGCCCAACATTGTGGTGTATCTTCAGTGATATTTGGTCGTAACTCATTACATATATCAAGCACAAGATGAGTGTTATATGCCCGATCATAGAAAGGGCGACATCCACTTGTAAGTTCCCACATAATCATTCCTAAACTGTAAATATCTGAACTAAATGAATATTGCTTTTTGTTAAGAACTTCAGGTGCAATATATGGCATAATTCCATATATATTACATTCTGAACTTTCCAAATCATCTTTTGCTGGTCGACTAAACCCTAAATCAGCAATTAAAGTGTTAGAATCAGGACCATTGCTTTTCAAATTGCCTATTAATATATTTCCACCGTGTATATCACGGTGTGCAATTTTATTTTTATGAATCCATTTAATGCCTGTAGCAATATCCTTAAGAAAGTCACGTTTCATTCTCCAAGTAACATCTTTAAAATTTTTAGATAAAAAATCATTTAGACTTCCATTAGACATATAAGACATAACAAAAATATAATCATTTGTTTTTGGAAACTGTGATACTCCGTAACATTGAATAATGCGGCGCATGTAAGAATTGGGCTGGCTTTTAACGATATTTTGTAACTGCAGAAAAAAAGATAAATGTTTAGAATAATCTACCGATAATTAAGATAAGGCTTATCTTTTATTACCTCTTTTAAGAATGCTGAATTGATATTTTTAGAATCCTTAAGGACTTTTAATGCAACTGTTTGATTTTTATTTCGATTATGACTTTTTTCTATACTGCTCCAACTTTTTATAGATCCTTTTGTCCATGTGGCCATATAGATTTCACTAAAACCACCATTTCCAATTTGGTTTATATCTGTAAAGTCCTCAAACGGGATCCACTCTAATCTGAATTTAGGCTGATTATTATGTGTTGCCTTAATTAAATTGTCAATATCTTGATTTCCGCTACTAACATTCTGGAATTGTTTTTTGGTATAATAACAACTGGTACATATTTTACTCTTATCTACAAGTTCTTTTTTTCTATTACAGTTTGTGCATTTGTCGCACACCATATTAAACTTTATTTTATAAACTTTATTTTATGTGGTCTAACTTTTATATCTAGAGAGCGAAATGATTGCACAAGACAATTTACCAATTCACATATATTTGCGGATGAATCTTTTTATACAGTAATAAAGAGAGTGCGAGCTATGGAATGAGGTAAAAATGCAAGCTAATTAGATTGTAATCAACTTCTTTATAGGAACAGCACTAAAGAGTCGTTATAAATAATGATTAAGTTTGATTGAAAATAAAGCTATTTATACTTTTTATTTCTTAAGTCATATCTTCGAATCTTTTTTGATATCGAATGTTTATTTTCTAGTAGAAATTTCTAGATAATGCAGATCGAGCCATTAATGACTAGTCTCTATGTACAGAAATTTCTAAGTTTCTAATATAACACTTGCATATATTATACTATCAATATGTATGATATTATCGCACTGATACAGAAGTAACTATAATTTATGTGATACCGGTTATCGTGACCGATCACGTGAAAAATGCACAAAATGCAATAAGTGCAATAAGTTACATTTAAGAGCGGAATGGTATTTTGGATCCAAAGGGGTATATAGGGGATAAAGGGAGGAAATGAAGGATATTAAATATATATGTGTAAATAGTTTAATTAGTTTTAATAGATAAGTCACACGATAAGTATTATAAATAAAGGAGTTTTTATAAACATGTGTTTCAGTAAGTGTAATATTAATAGAGATTTTAAATGATTTATTAAATAGATTATTTTTTAGATGTTGAAAAAAATTTAAAAGTGTTTGATTAGATGATAGAGTCAGAAGATTATAGTAAATTAAAAAAAATTTGTAATAAGAAGGATCCTTGAAGTTAGGAGAGAAGTTGGAATTCAAGAATGGGTAATAGGTTTTTGCAAAGTCACTCACTGTTTTAAGCTCAGCTCACACAGCTGCAAAAGATACTGTAGTCTTCTCTGTACATTGAGCCTGACTATTATAATCTCAGTCTTTCAAATAATTATAAGCAAAATTTTAGTTATTATAATTAATAATAGTAAAACAAAAATTTTAAATACAAAAATAATAATTTGATGCAAATTAATTTGTATATTTATTTGATATTTGGTATTTTTATTATTTTTATAAAATTTTTTATTAGGTTGATGAAATGATAATTAAAGATTAAAAAATTATAATTTTTTAAATAATTAGATAGTCTAATTATGTATTATAAAATGTTTTGTAAATATTTGTTTGATTAGTTAATATATATATTAAATACTTTACAATATAAGATGCTTATTTGCATATTATTTAGATTATTTGTTAACTATTATATTTACTTTCATTTTTAGTTTTTAGCATAAGTATGTCATGCAGCTACCTTATTTTTTAATAAAAACATTAAAAAATATAATATTAAACTATACAAAATTATATAGTTTATATAAGATTGTAGTTGTTTATTTAAATAAACATTATTATATAATTATGTAATAATTTTTTAATTTATTTAATAAAAAAATTTAATTTAATTATTAAATTATATTGTAAAGTTATTTGTATATATTAAAAAAGTAAAATAATAATAAAATTATTTATTATTAAATATAAAATTAATTTGATCTAAATCTAACTATTATGAAACAATATATAGGTTTTAAAAATAAATATATAAAAAAGATATTTGGAAGCTTTGCTAACAAAATGACTCTCTGAGTCATTATTATATAAGATTTTAATTAGAAAAATCATAATAAATCTATTTTTAGTAAAAATTATTCATAGCAAAGATCTTATTTAATATTTAAGAATATATAAAAATTAGTTATGTCTAATTTATAATAAATATAAAATATAAAAACAAAAAATCAAGCATAAAATAATAATAAGTAGATTAGTAAAGTAATAAATAGTTTAATTTTTAAATATATATTTTAAAAATAAATATCTTTAAATTATTAAACTTAGAATAATTAAAATAGTTAAATATTATAATGTTTTTTTTTTCGGTATTAAGGTGACCTCTTTGGTCTTTTGACTTTATTAATACTTTTGTCGGGTATCATGATGAGTGTACAACTGGTTACATATGTAATTTTTCTATATTACCTATTTAAGAGGTCCACCCGAAGGTTCTCCACCAGTTGCTGTACCTAACACTCTGCTTAAGTGTTCCATTTAAACCCTCTGATCCAAAACCCTTGTACCAACTTCACTGGGTCAAGCCCAGATCCTCATCTCAACCTTAGGACTATTTTATCCTTGAGATAAACCTAC